CTTAGTCCTACCAAAGGAAAAATTTTATCACTGAGGAGACACCGGTTAAATGAGAGGATAAATAAATTCTCACAAAACACCCCACAAAATGTCATTATTCGAGTTTCTAAATTTAAGCGGTGGTTTTGTTCTGCTTTTTTGTTCTGCTTTATATATTTTCGCGTTGTTCTGATTTATTTTCTGTTTCTTAGTTCTGATTTGTATGTTCATTTTCTGAGTTAAATTTTATTTGAGTTTCTGTTTATTCTGATTTTTGTATCTTTGTTTATTTTCTGTTTATTTCAACTTTTGTTTATTTTGATTTTTTAAATTTCTAAAATTCTGATTTGTATTTTATTTAATTTCTGATTTAATATGTTTCTGATTTGTACTTTAATATATTGTGATAGCATTTAAATATTTTCTATAATTTTAACTATTAAATGCTTAATAAAACTTTTATTAATTTTTTTTCATACAAACTTGACCGTTAAAAATATAAGTAAACCTGTTCCAATTATTCCTATTTTTTATTAATATTTTTTTTTGTAAAAATGGTTGCGCTTAGAAGAACGGGAAGAACAGTCGATGAACATAAAATAAAATTGATTTTTATTTTATTTTATAAGCTTGCCGAGATAAATTACTGAGAAAGCAAAATGTGCGAAAAACTTCAAAAAATTCAAACAAGCTTTTAGAAAATTTATAAAAATTTTACAAAATCTCACGTAACATCGGTTGTATTTTGTCTGCATTTTTTGTTCCGAAACGAACTAAAAGGGCAAAAAAGAGCCAAACGAAACTGTAAATTACGGCCAGCCCTGATTAAATAATTATTTGGAATTTTTATAAAAATTTTTCACTCACTTCTAAAAAGAACATCAAAATTACATTAACGAGGAGACATTCATGTTCTGACATAATTTGTTTTCTGTTTGTTTCTTATTTAATTCTGACTTGGCTAAAATTTATTCTTATTTTTAATTTTTACTTTATTTTTTGAAATATTATATATTATGCAAATTTATTCTGCTTCAAGTTCTAATTTCCCCTAATTCTAATTTTATTTAACCGTTTAAATAAAATAAAATTAATATTATTTTTTCTGTATTTTCTCCCAAATACACACATTTATTTTTCCACTCCCTTCCAAGGTTTTGGTGCATAAATGAGCGGTTTTATGACAAAAAATTATTTTTACGCATTGTAATATAATTGATGATATGCGCAAGTGTAGACAAAAATAAAAAAGGAAAAAAATATAAAAAAGGCATTGACTGAACAAAAATTTTTGCGAACTTTTTTTCGGTTCAGTACTGAGAAAAATTTATTTTTTTTTTTATTTTTAAATTAATTATCTATAATTAAATTATGTGTAAAAAAAGTTCAAGAAGAATCAATTAAATATTTTATTTGTCGATTATTTTTTTGATTTATTTTTAATATATCTTCCTTCATCGGCGGACCTCACTACAGATTAAATATTAGGGATGGGATCAGGGATGGGCGAAACTTCGTTTCACTCTTTCGTCCCTTTTTTCCATGTTTGTTTCGCTTCACTCTGAAATGAAATAGAAAATTAAAACAAGGTCAGATCGGGGGTTTGGATCGAGTTTTCGATTTTTTTGAGGTCAAAAATGTCCGTAGTTCGGAACAAGTTGACTGAAAAATCATATCTTATAATAGTATGTAAAGGGGTGTCTTATATCAGAGTTATCACTTAGCTTCTCATAACCAATGGACCCCTTATCGTCCCGAAAGTTGGGTAATTTGAGGAAATTTTGATTTGTATTTTTATATTTCCTTCGTTCCTCCCCGGGGTGATGGCTCAACAAACAGTTTCCAGGCCATTTCTCCGACGGGAACTACCCTAGTTCACTAAAATTGTAACTTCTTTAGGCTTTTATCTTAAAGTGAGGTCCATCTATAATTTATAGGGTCTTCTGGTTATGGTTTTAGCAATAAATTTAACAATATTATTAAATGTTGTAAATATTATTTTATTTATTATAATATTTGTTGGTGCTAATGAAGAACCTGTTAATGTTGGAAAAGGTTACTCAAACGGGTTGGCAGTTAAAATATTTATTAAATTAAAAAACTAATTTTAAAAGACGCTTCAAGGTTTACCATATAAAACCTAAAAGTGTTGATCAACTAGAAGGTCTAAATCAACTGGAACAACTTGGAGTGGTATAATTTTGTTTGATAAATTTAAGTATTAATTCATACTTCACGAAAATCGGGATTTCTAATGACTTGTTCAGGGGATTTGAAATTCCTAAAAACTTAATGTGATTTTAAGTCGGCGGATTAATGTTTGACACAATAATTACAGTATCTTCTTGATTACCTTAAATAATTTTTGTTAAAACCTCTCGCTAAAGGGTTAATAAGGGAGAGCAAGAATTCATTTTTTGAAATTCGCACGCGTAATTGGGCATTTGAGGGAGTGATCATTTTTTAAACCTCTAGCTGGAGGGTTAATTAATTGAGATAAGATAATTATTTGTGCGGTAATCTAATAAAATTCCTTCAGATTGACTTCTGGCGACCACCCCCTAATGTAAACTCAACTGCTGATGTAATGGTAGATACGGAGAATGGAGGGATTGAGTTTCTCAATTTTCTTGCTCGCCATAAAATGGAAGCAAAAATACTAGTCGACGACCTTTCCAAGTACCTTTATGTTTTTTTAAACAAATCTCAAAAATACATTGGAAAGCTTGAAAATTTTACCCTATATGTAGTAAGGTGTATCTTAATTTCCCACCCTACACAATCCCAACTGAATTTAACAAAAAACTTATATGATAAGTAGATGTTTAGTATCTAGAATATGAAAGAGGTAAAAGCTTAGCTTTGCGCACATTGAGCCACTGAAAGTATCTGAGTTAGGGTTTTCGAGGTTGAGACCTTCAGTGTCTTAGCTTTCACCTTCTCTTTAATTTATAGAACCCCAGCTTAAACCCCCATCCTATTTAAATCCTAATCAGCTTTATCTCCCTTCTTCATTTTACTAGTGTGGAAGGGTAATTAACCGAGTTTTGAAGCTGATCGAATTTCTCAATTTTTTTGCTCGCCATAAAATTGAAAAAATACTATGTAGTCTACGACCTTGGGGTCTTATAATAGTTAGGTCTCCAACTGTATTTAAAGATAATTTTAAAAATCTTTTCCTTCCCAAAAATCAAACTAAAAATTCAAAAACAGGCTTATCGAAGAAAAAGAAATCATTCCAACAGAGAGACAAAAATTATCAAAATTAAATAATCAGAACACTGTAGACGAAAAACAACAACAATTTATTCGTCGAGATAACATTGAGAATCGTTTAGATAATTTTGGATTGAGAATGGGAGATTATCCAGGATACAACGAAATTGTTGTTTTTATGCAGAGAGTGCACGACTCTCTTACTGAAAGGACTATACTTAGATCTATTGGGTCTACAGTTGAGGGGAGGTCCATTCAGGGAATTCAGGTTGGTGTTGATAAAGGAATGAATCAAAAAAATTTTGATAAATGGCGAATTTATAAAAATTTAAAAATAAATATAACACAAGTTAGGATCAGGGCTGGGCGAAATTTCGTTTCGTTTCGCTATTTCGTGCCCTTTTTCCCTTTCGGTTCGTTTCGGAACGAAACAAAAAAATTTATTTCGTTTCGTTTCGGAGCGAAATAAACCCCTAACGACGGAAATTTTTGCAAAAAAGTAAGCTTTGTAAATAAGCTTTGTAAGTAAGCTCGAAGTAAGCTTTGTAAAAATTTCAAATAAAACTTTCCTGTATAACATGAGCTAGTCTGGTTGAAAAAATGTCTGGTCGGATTTCTATATTTCTTTCGGATTGGGCTGTAATCCTTCTGATCCTTCGCCAATCATTGCTAGTTAAGGTTAGCTTATAGTTAGAAACCCTCGGATATCCGAACCGGAAATTTCTGGATATCCGGCATTTTACGATGGGTTATCCGGATCACCCATCCTTACTACTGTCACTCCAGAAAAATCTATAGGACTCTAGAACATAAAAGAGATAATATATCCTAAATCGAATTGAAAATAGTAGGATTTTTTGGAAGTCTCTTTCTTACTTAGGAAGAACTCTCCCTCCTCTGGAAGACTCTCCCTCACTCTTACTTATTCGCCATTAGGTTAGAAATTGTTTTACCTTCCTATCGAAAATTAATCAAAACTTCAAATCAACTCTAAAATTTTTTAAAAATTTAAACAGTTTGGCCTTCCCAGTGACAGATCCCGACCAGTTGTTTGGATAGATGCAGGTATCCATGCTAGGGAATGGACTTCAATACACACGGCTTTGTATTTTATTTACTATGTCTCTTTTATTTTCTTAAAATTTCGAAGGGAAAAATTCAAAAAAAAATTTAAACAGATCGCCAATCAAATAAAACAAGGGACGGATACTCGACTACTTAAATGTTTGGAAAAAGTTGATATTTTAATTTTTCCTTGCTTAAATCCTGATGGTTATGAATTTACTAGATCGGATCCGAGAAATCCTGCTGTAAGTTTTAATTGATACGATTATTTTAATTGAAAAGAGGCGGTGTTTTTAAGCAATTGTACCCTTTGCCCTTTCAAACTTTCCGCATGAAGCGCTAGAATATTTTAGAATTTTAGAATTTTTTGATTTAATGAATATTTCTTTTAATTCCTTCGATTGCGAGACATATAAATGGGATAATGGATGACAAATTTAACAAAAACCGTTCTTGTACTTTTTGGATATCCCCATATCTGGTTCGAGTATTCATAGGTATTGCTTGAAGATATATTTAGATAAAGGAGGAAAGAATAATTGAGAATCGAACTAGCGGGGGCGGATATCGTAAAATATCAAGTCTCGTGTTGACCAAAAACTGGAGGTTAGTCAAAAATCAGTAAATTAGTCAAAAAGTACCCGTTGTATCAGACCCTAGTTTAAATGTTTTATTCAGAATTTCTTTTGTGATTTCTCCAAGTTTTGGTTTCCTCCTTTATTTTGTATTTTCAGATCCGAATGTGGAGGAAAAACCGTTCCAAAGAGCGCTGTGTTACTGACAGTCACAATACTGAACGTTGCTGCATGGTGTTAATATTATTACAAAATTTAAAAATTAAATACTATTCACAGGGTGTTGATTTAAATAGAAATTTTGCTTTTAAATTTGCTGGTAATTTTTTCAAAAATTCTCAAAAAATTTTTTTTAATAAAATAGAGGGCGGCACAAGCTTCTTCCCCTGCTCAGAAATCTATCACGGACCAAATGCTTTTTCCGAACCGGAGAGTCGCGCCGTTCGAGATGCTATAATGGAGGGGGATTTGAAGGGAAGAATTCCTGGGCTGATTTCAATGCATGCCTACTCTCAAGTTTAACAATTTTTCTTTATCATTTAATCATCTTATCAATTTTTATCAGCTTTGGATTTATCCGTACTCACACAGGAGGCACTCATATCCCCCTGATGTTGAGGATTTGGTATGTTTAATGGGAAACTCACTATTAGGGACGCATAGAGACTGAAAAGTCGTTTATAACAGGAGTCGCTAATAACGAGCATTGACTACTGAATAATCTACGGGAGCTGGTAGGAGCAGTCTATCGTAGGAACACTCCTCGATAGTTATTACTACCAAATAAGTTACAGTATACTACATAACCTCTAATCTACTTAATATATAAAAATGCAATAATTATTTTACATAAGTTAATGGAATTTAATTTAAATCTGAAGTTTCTTGTGCAGTTGAGTATTATTTTTGAATGGGGCTTTAGTTACGCTCCAAATTCTCTCGTAATTTAGCATAAAAATTTACGACGTGTAAGTTTAACAAAGATTATGTCACCAGTCAGTTAAATCCTTACAATTAGTATGAAATTTCCTTATCTTATTTAAAAGCTCTTTACAAGATGGTTAATTTCTCCCTGTATGATTAAGAAAATTTCGTACGGTGTGCAATGCGTCACTTTATATAATTTTGATCCACTCCTGATTGATAAAAAGCAAAGCAACCTTTAAATCTCGATTTATTACAGCCTTAAGAGTCCCCATTAAATGGCTTTTAACTTAATTTTTTAAAATTAAGAAAGCAGTTGCTCGTCGTGCAGTTACCGCCATAGGAGACAAATTTGGAACAAATTATCAATATGGAACAGGACCCGAGACTATATGTATTTTTATTTAAATGATTCGAAAAACGTATTTTTAGATGCTTATACAGGAGGAAGTTCAGATTGGGCAAAGGAAACAGCAAAAATAAAATATTCTTACACTGTGGAATTAAGGCCTTCCTTTTGGTGTAAGTATCTTCTTACTTTAATTTAACCCTTTTCACTAATTTTGACAACGAAGATTTTGATTTTATGCTGGGTAATGCTGGTTATGATTCCGATAGATATATAGATATATCTGGAGATTTAGAAATTCGGAAACCCCAACAACCAGATTCCGACGAATACCCACCATGATCACGTTTACATATCTGAATTTAAAACAAATTTAATTTTAATCTTCACTTAAAGCGTGGAACGGCTTTGTATTGGACCGTTCTCAACTAATTCCAACAGCTAGGGAGACGTTTGACGGTGTTTTGGTTGTTTTAGAAACAATTTCGAGTAGTGGCAAAGCAATTATAAACAATTCCTTTGGTAAACCAAAATTTTAAAAAATTTCTAAAAAATTTTGAAAATTTTTTTAAGTCTCGGAATTTTCAAAATGCTAAAAAATTTTTGAAATTTTTTTAAGTCTCGGAATTTTCAAAATGCTAAAAAATTTTTGAAATTTTTTTAATTTCAAAAAATTTTTTTTGAAAATTTTCGAAAACTATAAAAAACTTTTGAAAATTTTCCTAAGGCTCGGAATTTTTGGAATTTCAGAAAAATTTTTTAAAATTTGCAGAAATTTTTTTTAATTTTCAAAATCGAAAAATTTTAAAGGCTCAAAACGTTCAATTTCACCATTATTTCCACCATCCCAAAATTTCAACAAAAAAGAAAAGGCAACAAAATTGTCAAGTTGTTTCGACGCTGTAGAACACTGTCCAATATGGATAAAGGCAAATCCGCAAATCTGCAGCGATTCAAAAACTTCAATGTTGAGGGAATGTAGAAAGTCTTGTAAATTTTGTTGATTTTTAAACTGAATTTTGAAGAAGAAAATTTGAAGAAACGGGCAAAAATCTGAAAAATATTTTTTATTAAATTTTTGTTTAAATTTTCAAAAAAAAATTATAAATTTCAAAAAGAATGAAAATATGTAAATAAATACAAAAATTTAATCGAACGGCGTGTGATTATGTAAATTTAGAATACCGAGTGCTGGATAGGCTTCAATCTAGCTGCTCACACAGAGTCTTACGCTTTAATTTCTGCCCGCACACAGCTCAGGCTATACTCACAGGGTCTTCTCCTTATTTCTCTAGACAGTTAAAGCATGTCAGATCATCACAGCATTTGACGGTTCGCTTAAGTTTCCTCGGGCTATGCCCGGCCGGGTCTTTGCACCATTATTGTATTCATGTTCATGCTGTAGAAAAATTCATTGGATGGGAGATGGAATTGAACCATCATGGAATGAGCCCAGACCAAAGCACAACCGACTGTGCCAACATCCAACCCGATCATGGGTTATTTATTTTCATTTATGTTCTTTCTGCAAGTGCGGACACAACAACAAATTAAGCTGGAGAAGCAAAAATATCAGCATAAATTAAATCTTTAGCTAAATATTTGGCGTTTATTAGGAACACAAGTTAAGCTGAAGAAGCAAAAATATCAGCATAAATGAAATCTATAGCTAAATATTTGGCGTTTATTAGGAACACAAGTTAAGCTGAAGAAGCAAAAATATCAGCATAAATGAAATCTATAGCTAAATATTTGGCGTTTATTAGGAACACAAGTTAAGCTTGAGAAGCAAAAATATCAGCATAAATTAAATCTTTAGCTAAATATTTGGCGTTTATTAGGAACACAAGTTAAGCTGAAGATGCAAAAATATCAGCATAAATGAAATCTATAGCTAAATATTTGGCGTTTATTAGGAACACAAGTTAAGCTGAAGAAGCAAAAATATCAGCATAAATGAAATCTATAGCTAAATATTTGGCGTTTATTAGGAACACAAGTTAAGCTGAAGAAGCAAAAATATCAGCTTAATTTGTGTTCCTAATAAACGCCATTAGGAACAGAAAAAAATATATTTATCTATATAGTTCATTTATGCTGATATTTTTGCTTCTTCAGCTTAAATAAATGATCTTAGACTTCCAGCATACAAGAATATAAGAGCCTCTTTTTGTCGTGGGCGTTTGGGATTGCAAACTATTTCTGTAAAGTCATTAGTACAGATTTGGAACCATCATCTTTTACAGCGTCTGTTTGTTCGGGTTGATTATTTAGATTGTTTCCGCTTCAATTGACGAACTTGAGGTTAAATTTGTTGGGACAGATGGGAAGTCTTCAGATTTGTGCAAACATTCAGGTTTTGTTATTGATCTTGGTTGAGTACCTGACCAGATTCTTGGCCTTGAGTCAAAAATAAATTAAGGAACATAAAAAATGGTAATTATTATTCTGGTAATTATTATTATTATAATAATTATTATTATAATGATAAATATTATTATAATAATTATTATTATATATATAATAATTATTATAATGATAATAATTATTATCATTATCACTTTAATAAAGAATCCTAATGGATTATCAGCCGTTAATGGACAAGGCATGTGAATAATACACACTTCCAGGAATACATAAAAGAAAAATTTCATGACTTTTTATTCATTTTTTAATTTTTTATAAATTTTTTCTTTCAGTTATGGTATCCAGCAAATATAAACATATTTACAAAAAAGCTTTGGACATCAAAAAAAGCTCCGGTCTTACTGGAAAACGTTTGTATAACGAACTTGTGCGTTTATATGGTAAAGACGCTCCTTGCATTAGCACTATGCAACGATGGTTCCGTTCCAATAAGTTTTTTCTTTTTATTGTTTTTGAAATTTATTTTTTATTTAGAAAAGTTAAACATGAACAACCACTAAATACAGTTTCTTCGCATTTATCTACTTCTACAACCATTACTCCATCACCTGGACTAATAGCTGGACCGTGTCTGAACTGCTGGAAGAAAATATTGAAATTAATCGTCGACTGCAACATATTAAGTCTTATCTTGGAGCGCACAAATTCCTCTGCATACGTTAATTGTAAGGAAGGGGAGGGTTTGGGATGCATTTTCAAACTTTTTCTTTTTTTAGTTTTGTACTTTTGGAAAAAAAGAATTTTTGAGTTAAAAAGGGAAAAGAATTTTTGAATTAAAAATTTAAATTTTACTTACATAGGTTGTTGGCGAACGGTTATAACCGGTACCCCCGGTTTTCGGTTTTATCTAAATTTTAAAAACCCGGTTTTCGGTTTTTGAGTTTTAGGAAAAACCTGTTTTATCTTTTGTGGAATTTTTAATTAACTCACTCATTTTCACAAATTTCCGGTTTTCATTATTAAAATTATCTAAACTCGTTTATTTTTTGGCAAAAATTTTTTTGCGTTTTTCACGATTGCTCTTGCGCTCCCTCCTTGTATGTATAAAAAATCATGAAGGATGATTTTGGTTTACTAGAAGGTATAGCTTTTTTAAATATTGACAGCTAAACAAATAAATTTTCTAACAAAATTTAAAGAGATATTAGAAAATTAGAAAAAAAATTTTTTATTGGATTGATTTTTTACTCGCAGTTTTAAAAAGAATAAAAGAAGAACAACAGTGGCGGAAGCAGAAATTCTTATTCATCTGAATTATACTGGAAGGAATTTGAGGTAACATGCGTTTAGGTATGGGTCTTGCCGTAACGTAAAAATTGGAGGCGGAAGAATTAGGAACATAATTAAAAGCGGTAGACTGAACACCAGAGAGGAGGGGTAAAAAACCGATCTGATCATCAAAAAAAAGTTACAGGCTTGCGACATCGTTTAACAGTGATAACTTTTGTAGAGTGATCAGATCAGATAAGTCGAATTATAAAAATGATGATTTTTCTGAAAGACGGCCAATTCCAAAACGGCCATTCTTAAACCGCTATTCTCAAACGTCCCCTACCCAGTGAGCACAATCCAAGTTTTTAGAAATACTTTGAATCTATTGAAAATAAGGAAGTATTGGTACGCACATAAGCGAGCCACCAAAAAGTTTGTGGCTCACGAAATTGAACCATGGCGTAAAATTCCTGGCTCTGTATTTAATTTTCTAATATCTTTTTAGAAAATTTATTTGTTTAGCTGATAATTTTTTTAGAAAAATTAAAATTAAATACTTTCTATTAAAATAAAACCTTTCTCATATGTATCTTATAATAATTTTTCAATATTTTATGCGTTTACAGGGTGCGGCATAAGTAATTGGACACTTTTAAATTCCTTATAACTTTTTTTGTTGTCAATATTTTTAATTGATTTTAGGCTTATTTTTTAGCTCATTCAATTCTCTATTAAAGCTAGATAACGTGATTCTATAATCTCACTTTTTTTGCAAAAAAATTCAGTCCGCAAAATTTCATCTCTTTTGAATGTCCCAAAGTGTCCACTGTATGTCCCACTGTACAATACACATCAAAAAATTCTGGTGAAAATTTTTTGGGAGAATATTTTTTAAAATTAATTTAGTTTAATTAATTTAGTTTTTAAAATTAATTTTTTTTAAATTAACTAATTCAATTAACTAATTAAATTAAAATTAATTAGTCTTCTTGATTATTATTGTTCCTTATTTAATTCTCTATCATTTGATTGTACAGGGTGTTTCAGCTGAAAAGCGCTATTTGAAAAATTAATAAACTTTTACTGCGTGGACAGATTTACATGAAATTTTGTATTTTGCATCTATATTTTATGGCAATTTTTTTGACATAAAAATTATGTCGAAATTCGAACCCTAACCCGAGATAATTTCGTACTCTATCGTTCTGTTTTTCCCTTTTTCCGCACATGCATTCTTACTCCCTTTTGTTTGTTACAAGCGGCGATAGACACTAGAGTAAACACTAAGCGATAGACACTACATTTTCAATACAGTATCCACTCTTCGCCATACGCAGGAAAATAAATGCACTAAGATAGCGCGTAATGAAAAGAGAAAGAAAAGAGAACGGTAGAGTACGAAATTGAAACGAAATTGAAATACGGGGTTAGGGTTCGAACTTCGACATAATTTTTATGTCAAAAAAATTGCCATAAAATATAGATGCAAAATACCAAATTTCATTCAAATCTGTCCATGGTGTAAAAAGTTATGGATTTTTCAAATAGCGCTTTTCAGCTGAAACACCCTGTATATTGATTTTATTTGATTGTGTTTTAATAAAGTTATGAGAGAAAGTATGTGTCCAATTACTTATGCCGCACCCTGTATAATCTTCGCATTTTTTCATGTTTTTTCCACATAACTCAACAGAAAAGTGTCCTTTTCGTTTAAATTTTTTTCTAATTAAGTTAAGCATTGCCACTAATTAAGTAGTGCTACAGTACTTTTCGGTATTTACATTTTATTTTTATTTAGAAAAATATCTATTTATTTTAAAAATGCAAAAGAATTCTAATAAAAAATGCCAAGTTTGTGAGTGTAAAGAAAATGTTTGCTTTCATTATGGAGTTCGTACATGTAGGGCTTGTGGGGCTTTTTTCAGGTTTTTTAGGTACTTATCGGTTATACACCCACAAACTGAGTGCCAGCCAAATTTGATTTTTGATGCTTGATCCAATTCAAATACATCTTATATCATTCGGAAGCCCTCGATAAGAGGAACATTTTTCCAACTTAATGGATCATGTCTGATCACTCGTTAAAAAGTTATAACCCGATAAAAGTGAAAAACACCAAATAACTGGACTTATCGTGTTAAAACTTTTAAATGAGTGATCAGATTTGATCCAACTTAAAGAAAAAAGGTATCTCTTATCGAGGGCTTTCGAATTATATAAGATTTATTTGAATTGGATCAGCCATAGAAAAGGTACAGCCGATCAAATTAGGCTGGCACTCAGTTTGTGGGCGTTAACCCAGGGTTCCGATCGACAATAATCCGATCGACCATAATGTTGATTTCAAAGTACATACTTTCAATAA